GTAATTGTAATTCAAACATGCTTTCCCACTTTCTCTCCTCATATCCTGACTATCCATGTAGCTCAATCGAAATGAGTCCACATACTTAAATATGTAGAGCAGCCTACTGAACAAAACCCCCAATGTAAATAGACTCTGATGTTATTGGGATGTCGCAAATTATGCCGAGCATATTGGCCTCCTAATCCTAGACAAGCCCCTATTACCCGCACTTCACCGTCAGGGGAAGATGACGGATGGGGAGAAAATGGCGCCTTTGCATCCATCCTCCTCCCCTTCGTAGTTTCTTCCTGTCGCGCTCCCCAACCGCATCAAGCCCCGGTATTATAACCCTAATTGGTCCCTGAATTAGATAAGATCGTTGCTGCATTAAAGGTGTTTATCCGGTTTGTGCAAAGGTTTTAAGAAGGCAGAATTGACGGAAACGGGCGGGAGATCTTTTCTAGTGATTAAGTGACGTTGTTTAAGCATCTTGTTGGTGTTAATATCTCGAGAGAATACGAGTTTGACCATCCTGACTAATATGAAAATGATAGAGACTTGTACATTGTGTATACATGCGATTTTTCTTTCATACATAATTTTGAATTAAGTATAATCTTATTATTATATATTATATTATGATTATATATTCTTATTATTGATATATCAAGTTTGATGAAGCAGGGCCTTGCTCTGAACGTGGTATAGTCTTCAAAGTTAGAAAAGGAGATACCTATTTCTGATGATGAGTGGACGTCGAAGTAAACGCGACGAAGCGAGTTAAATGCTGATGTAACCTCTCAACTTGACTAGATCACGTGGGAACACACTGTGATAGTCTCAATACCAGGGGATTTGGTTGATTGAAAAGCCAATTTTAGTCTTACTTGAACTATTGCCAGACTCTTATTTGAAAATGAGATGCGCGTTACTTCTTTAAAAAGGAAAACGAATTGGCTTTAATCGCCATGTCCATTTCTCTTCGGCTATCGAGTGTCCAAACGGGGCGGTCATACCATTTGCAGCTTTTTAATCGCACTTGGGAAGTTGGGAGACAAGATTTACAAAGTTTAGAATAGATCGACGACTGGTTTTGGAAACTAGTGTTTGTGGATGTCTTGTGTGTTTAGGGACACCATAGGTGCGAACAGGTTCACGGTTGAGGACCGGTGATAAAGCAGAAAAAATATTATCCAGATTTGTTCCTGTCTTGTGCTGGGGTCGCGTGCGGGGAAGGCGTCGGAGCGGGTACTCCCAAATCGCTCGTTCACCCCTACCCCCTTCGTCCCATAGCCCACACCCCGCTCTCCATCACGATCCGTCGATCACTCCCTCTCCCTTGCTCTTTCCCCTTTCCCTTCCCCTCTCTCCTCCCTCTCTATCTTGCATGTCCCCTTTCCTCTCTTCTTCCCTCTCTTTTCCTTCTCTTCTCCCTCTCTTTCCCATGTCTATTGTCTCTCCTCCCCCTCTCCACCTCGCCCCTTTCTATCCTCTGCTCCCTCCTTCCTCTTTAACTCACTTTCTACTTGATATTATTGCAGTGCATGCTTCCTCAAATGCCAACTCTTTGTCTTTTCTTAATTCATTTTTAGCTTTCCACATTCTGTCAATCCTTCTTTCATTCTTCTCACTTTCTCTTCAGTACTCTCCGCGTCCATTACATCTCCCCTTTTCTAATACCATCTATATATCTATCGATCAATCCATCCATACATCTATCTATCTATCTATAAATCTATATGTATGCCTCCATGCTTTCTTCGTGGTTGATATTTCTCATTCAGAGGATGTTTCATGGAATTACTCTTCAAGTTCCTTTTTAATTAGGATATTTTAAAGGTTGAGTTGGTATCAATTAATGGGTACCGAAACTTAGAAAATCAACAAAATACCAATACCGATACATAATAGAAGCACTAATCCTTTTCTTCAATAACAATCACAGAAACAAAACTGGAAGGGGAAAATCAACAAATCGATTAAAATATCTCACAGTCCTGACAGTTGTCAAAATATAAAACTGCATGTGCGTGTTAAAAAAAGGCCTTGTATTTTTTTGTTGTAGTTCCATGAACCGGCTTTTACAAAAGAGCATCAAACAATATATCATGAACAGTTTGTTTTGATTATTTCCGATGTATTTTTAAGTTTCATGTTTTTTCCATAGCCCGTTTGGGTCTCAATTCCTACTTTTGGAAATGTAAAGTAGATGCCTCTTATCAAAGCCACGTCTCGTCAATCGTGTCAGTGGTTCCAGTTTTGTTTTCTATTTTTTTGCAACATGTACGTTGTCGCTTTGTGTGTTCATGTACGGTGGCTTGGACATCAAACATCATTCATAGAAATCAAAGTTCGCCTGTCAATGTCCTTTTCCTCTCTTTTGTCATCTCCCCCCTTTTCTCCATATCTTTCTGCGTCTCAGACAACTCTCGTTATCATGAATTCCCGGTGATCGTCTTGGGTGACGAGTTTTTCGCGCCGAAACCATCGGCACGGACCGGTGGCCAACGCAGCCAACTTTGCTGTCAAAAGTTTTCACGGTTGATGCTTTGGGCATGCTTTACCCTGAGAAGAGGGAGGGGGGGGGGCACCCCTGTTTTATTCGTGAGAAGGACACGCAGCGACAATCCCCATACTATATGCATGGGCAGTGACAGAGAAATGTAGATTGATTTTTGTCTCCATGGTTGGCTTTGCTAAAGTTACTTACATGTATTGAGGGGCTTATTATATGGCTGGATAGACGACACAGAACAGTTCATAATTGGCGCAATGACAGTATTTGCACACATACCTCATTCATTCAATATACTTTCAGTTTCTCAGTATTTAAGGCTCTAAAGCCCAACATTAATTTTTAGAAAGCGTAACTTTAGAGGTCCTTAACCATAGCGTAATCTACTTCATAAGAAACGATTCACAAAGCAACGTTGTATCCTCATAAGCCCCGTCGATGTCTTGAGAAGGCGTTACCAAAGAGGATAGACTATGTTAAACCAATTAACGTTGACACCTTTCTATGTGTGTGTGCATATAATTACCTTGGTTTGCATCAATGAAGAGCTTGATGTGTCTTCTGTCATATGAGTATATGAGTGATAATGCAATGGGAGCTCTGTGGTATAATGTTGAAGGCTCTCGGCTCTCCGATAGGTCCCGGGTTCGAGGCCTTCTCGGTGCTTATACCCTTCGACAAGGTGTTTTGTCCCCATTTGTCCAACTGTACTATATATATCCAGGTGTAAATGGGTATACCTGGCAATGGCTGGGGTAATAATAGTTATTGCAGGGCCCGCGGAAATAGCAGTATTAATTCCAATTTGTCGACCCTCACATTATTATCATAATTATGAATTCAATTGTTAGTTGTCATCCTTTTCGCGTTTGTGAACAACATTGGTAATGTTTGGTTTTTCTTATTGATTTTCTGTCAAGTTATTATTACACTTTGGATATTTAACTAATATAGGCAACTACCTGATTTTCACTCCATATTCTAACTGACCCAAGAACGATCTGTGTTAAATCGTGACGACCTTACGGAGAAAAACCTAGTTCAGGAGTGCACAATTCACCCCTTTTCTAGCACACATTGTTGCTCTTGTAATGACATTTTGCTCCTAGAGTCACAATATAATTTTGCCGTATCAAAACAACTTCCTGCTGAGACATTTATCGGCAAACAAAAACAATTATTCGGCTGAGCCGTGTTTACTCGCCGGATTTGTCCGGTGCCGTACCTCGAAAGAGAGAGAGAAAGGCAAAAAAAAAAAGGTTACTATATTCAACCTTCTGCTTATGGGTTTCGTGTCGCAACACGCACCGTTGTGGGTGAAGTTGCCACCGATTTGCATTGACAGACACGTTCTCGCATTGTATGGAGGAGGGAAAAAGGCAAAATGTGGATGAAATGTCGCCAAAATGAGGATTTAGGCATCTAACGTGTAATCGGATTCCTAAGCAAACATGGCGAGCGTAGTCCGAGTGAGTGATAGGGTACGTTGTTTCCGTTCTTGTGGTATTGCTCCTGCGACTGTAGACGGAATACATTGGGGGTTGCCGAGACAAAGTAACTCCAAACATGAAGTCAAAATCATACAGTCAATATCAGGCAATTTATGGACAAAACACGATTATGATTAAGAGGAAAGCTTCACAATAATGCCACAAGGCTGCAACTGGTTTCGAGGAACATTTGAAATCGCACGTTGAAGTACTGTCTTTTCGTCTTCATTTCTATGTTTCCTGTCACTCCTATTAGTATGTACTTCAGAGTATTATTTACTATTGACTGTTAAGGTTACTTTTAATTTTGTATCCAGAAAGTTGAATCTTGAGAGTTATTCAAACACTCTTCTGAATACCTCTAGAATTAATCGAATAGTGTGATATAAGAAGAGTAATATTTGCATATTTGCTATTTCCGCCTTTATTCATCACCGTTTTGTGCATTAGGTGCATAGAGAGGGTTAAAATCAATATAGTTGATCAAAAGTGGTTAACATTGAGCGGAATGTATATGGAATGAAATATACACACGCACACGCACACTATACCCATACATCCTCAATTAAAAATCAAGCAATTAACATCGCCCCCGGGGAAATTAATTTATTGGCTCAAGTAAACACAAAAACCCACACAAATATTTCTGTGGTTTAGCTATCCCTCCCAGTGTATACATAATGCTTTTTGTATAGTGACTCGGGTGATTGATTGATAGCATGTATTTTACTTGAACATACTTTTGTTGTTGTTATTTCTATACTGACATTAACTTATAGATATTTAACTATGATACAATTTTGCCTAATTTTATAATTTTCCCTACTTTATCTTTTGATTTATTGAAAGAATACCTTAAGTACTATATTCCTATCTTTATTTCTTATTTTAATCGCGGTGTAGTTTGTATGTTTACCATCATTGAATCACGTGTAGTATCTATGAAATCGCCCTTTTTCATGTTTTTACCTGATTTTAACGATTTTCATCGGTTTTCCTCCATCTTTGCTCAGGTCACGGTGGCGTGAACCAACTAGGAGGTGTGTTCGTCAACGGAAGGCCGCTACCTGATGTCGTTCGCCAACGCATCGTCGATCTCGCACACAGCGGCGTCAGGCCGTGCGATATCTCAAGACAACTACGGGTTTCACATGGATGCGTTTCCAAAATTCTCGGCCGGTGAGTTGATGTCTGATATATAGACCTGGGTAGGGAGCGTCAATAGTAAACAAGATGCCTCGTTATGGGACAATGTGTGATTTTTAAACGTTGACAAGTTTGTACCATCTTGAGATAGTTCTTATAAATTGTCAGAATTAAGAAAATGAATAGGACTAGGTAATAATACTTTCCAAAATTATTTAGAATAAACAATAGTTCATTTATACAATAATTCAGAATTAAACATGATTTCACTAGTGAATCGGAAACATGTTATATTACACGATAGATATCTCCACCTTTTGTATAATGATTTCAAGGGATTTCAACACGATTTGCAAATAATAATATACTAATACTATTAATAATAATCATAGCCTATGTGTGTTATATCAGACATCAACTCACTTGTCAAGAACTTTTGAGACATATCCATGTGAAACCTGTATAGCTACTCTTAAATGGAACAGTGATTGAGCTTATATCATACAAACAGAAAAGCCCATCAATTAAGTCATTAATACCAATGGAGAAGAGTCAATGTAATGAGATCACGACTTCAAATTCTTACCCATTAACGTAGATTAAAAACGATTGATAAACACATATTGCATCTGAACATGTAATATCTTTTTAAATTAAAAAAAAACCCAAAGAAGAAAACAATAAGGAAAAACATCAACATCCGCCAATATTCATTTCACGAACGTTCATTCTTCGTTGAAAAAAAGAAAGAAAAAGGATGAAGATTTAATAACTATGGAGTCATTATGTTATCCACCCAGCTGCGTTGTTACTATTCTGAGCTCAGTGGCCGGGATTTCGGGTTAATCTATTGGCTGTATGATCGCGGCATCACATCATAATAGACCCTGGCGCATCTCGATTTAATTCGCCCATTCTAAATTTGGCATGGCGACCATCTGTACACCTTTTATACCATCTCGCTCAATTTTAGGGTGTCATCAATATTTTTTTTTTCGTCCGGTTCGCGAACTGTCATATCGTCAACAATATTATTGAAAGTGAAGGAAAGTAAGGATGAACAAAGGAGGGTTGTATGGCAGTGTGTTTTGTGTTCTAAATTAAAGGACAGCTTGAAAATATTACAAAGGACACTTTTTACATTAAGAGTTTAGATTCTCCTTTTTATTAAGTTCAAACATGATGTTTGTTTAGCTGATGATTACCTAAACAAAATAACAACATTTCTGTTCTTTTGTTTTTGTCTCTCATCAGACTGTTGTTTTTCATTGAAGTCTTTTTGGTCACTGATATAATGAAAACTAAATTTCCATGTAATAGCTGTCAAAACCACTATTAATTTGAATAAACAGTTTAAATAAACAATTTTAACACTAATTATTTTCTGACACATGTCATTTGCGGAACAATGAGGAAACAAACCAATTTTTATTTGAATAATCAATTTGAATAAACAGTTCAAACAACAATTCTTTTCTGACACATGTTATTTGCGAAACAATGAGGAAACATTATTTGCCAAATTATTTGAATATGGCGGTTGTGACTTGGAATTTATTGGTTACAGTCATTATGCTAACCTAACCAAATTCAATATTTTGAAAATGTTAGCTATTATACTATGATTGTTCCAAATAATCTGATTTCTCAACATAATTTAGACAATTCCAATCTCATCACATCTCAATAATTGACCATTATTCATCACGTTTGATTTGCTCAGTCTCTCGTACATAGTTTATCAACAAATCTTAAAATACCCAGTCACTTGAAAAATGTGTATACGTTATGAACACGAAAGACCTGCAGACGACTTGAGCAAGAAAGAAGATTTGTCATTTTGATTACAGCAAGCATGCCGTCTCCTTTATTGGCAGAACCCAATATCCCCATTCCCTTCAGCCTGCAACTATGATTTAATATCAGTTTAATTGCACCTGCATAAGCCATATCGTATTTCATTTTCTGGTAGGTAAGCAATAATCACATAATTTTCCTGCTTCGTCGAGCGGTCCATGTTTATGAAATAATAACATTCATAAATTGTCCCGCCCATCACCCGTCGACTGTCTGTATACATGGAATCCCGCTTGAGAGGAGGCCGACGGTTGTATTGGCTGTGATCGCTCCCATGCGCGCTCGAGTTCGGCGACTAGCTTCAACCGTGATTCACGCGCAATAATAATTCATGAACTGTCATGAAGCTTCGATGAAGTCTGTACTGTTGCCGTTTTGCCAACCTTGAGATCTTAATGAAAAATAGATGGTGGGTTGATGGGTTTCTGAAAGGGGCATAATTTCGTCTGCGTGACAATTTCTAAAGTGATGATACCACACTAAAACACACAGAAAAAGGGACAATCGCGCGATTAAAATAAAAACGATTCAAGAAAAGTGATCTTATTTTAAACCCGAATGCCGATTTGTGAAACCCGATTGACCTCTCAGAAAAGGTGTTAAAACCTAAATAAAATGAACCAGATACATAACCTCAACTCCACGGCGATTAAATCGTTTACAAACATAACTATTCCGTAATTTTAACACATACAGTATGCATGTCACGGCAATGATTAAAAACATTTTCGTGACATATTTTTGTTGTCAGATATTATGAAACCGGTTCAATACGACCCGGTGTTATCGGAGGAAGCAAACCCAAGGTTGCGACGCCAAAGGTGGTGTCGAAGATTGCCGATTATAAACGACAAAATCCGACCATGTTCGCCTGGGAGATTCGGGATCGGCTGCTGGCCGAGGGCGTGTGCGAGAAAGACAACGTTCCCAGTGTCAGCTCGATTAACAGGTGAGGTCAAAGTTCATAAATGATTGTCATGCTAAATCTGTTTACTTCATAGGTAAGAATTGAAGGCTGTTGTTATTGTGTGTAAATTTACAACGAATGGATATCAATTGGAAGCCTTCGATTATGTTGAAAACATTCTTGCTTTCACAGAATACGTTAATTGATCCTCATGTAACGTTTTCTTAGTAAAGAGTGGTCCTCAATTAAGCAACTTGATGATTATACATTTGAAGCCGTATGTCAAAGACTTTCAAGAAACAACGGCAATTCTAGTACCCCATCTTCATGATTGTAATGCCTGTCGAAACTATATCAGGATTATGCGACAGACCATGGAACTTTTGCGATATACTAAATTAATATATATATAAATTTTCTATACAAACAAGACAAGCTCAGCACACAGAAGCTCAAAAATTATCAATCAGAGAGTGATTATTAAAAATAATATACTGGATTTTCTTTTTTGCTTCATGTCTTTTGGATTGACAGGATTGTAAGGAACAAGCTAGGAGACAAGAAGCTCGATGAGCATCAAACGGGTTGTCTTCCGACCTCTGGTTCCCCTCCATCCTCCCTCATCCACCCAGGGGACCCCGAAAGGACCGGCTCCTCCTACTCTATCAACGGGATCCTGGGCATCCCCAAGCAGGAGAAGAGGATCAAGGGAGAACTCTACCCAGGTAGGTTGGATTTGGATTGCCATGGTGATGACGATGATGGGAATGGTGGTGATGATGATGATGATGATGGTGGTGGTGGTGGTGGTGGTGGTGGTGGTGGTGGTGGTGGTGGTGGCGATGGTGATGATGATGCTTTGTGATGATGAAGACTTTAGATAACTAATTTCGTGATTTGTGTTGTTGAAAATATTGTGTTAATGATGAGAATAATCAGAATATTCCGGTCGTTATGATGGTTCCTAGGTGATGATGAAATTACTAAGGATTAGTGATGACGATGACGATGACGATGATGATGATAATGATGATGCTAATGATGATGATGCTTATTGTGTTGCCAAGGATTATCGATGCTGGTCATTGTGGTGGTACTGATGTATTTCATGATACTTCTGAAAAATAAAATGTAATGTTGGTGATAATGATTGTACTGATGAGGTTGTGAATAGGGCTCAATTTCATTATATTTGATGTTTTATGAGTGATTCACGAACCATAGATATAGGCTAGTTATGATATTCTAAGAACGGGAAGATGAATAACTTTTTTCCTTAATGTCATCTTCCCCACGATGCAAGTTCCTCTTTTTTGGGTAACAAAATACACGCAATAACCATGATAACGCTTCACCTTCATTTCCCATGCATTATTAATTTGCATATCTCGAGCTCATTTGCATAGATGCCCGTTGACCCGTCTCTGGCCCCCATTCCTCATTAGCGTGACTCACTAATGGCCCTTTCCAGTTCCATTCGGCGGCGTTGGCCATAAAAATGCCGGTGCTTTAATGACATCAATTTTGCAGAGCCTATGCGAGATCCAATTTTTCATGATAATTTTGTTTCCTTTTATTTATGTCCCTTTTTTTATTATGAAAGGGGCAGATTGGCCCTATATTATACTCTCTGACATCTGATAGTTATTTTGTTTGGCTTCTCGGTCTTCGGGAGATAGGCCGCTCGATTGCTTAATCAATAACGGGACTTCAATCATAACAAATTTGTCTTTGGGGATGTACAAGATTTGGTAAAAAAAACACAACGAAGTCTTAACAAAGGTTTAATTAGTATCCTGAAAGGAAAAGCTCTGAAATATATGATGTATGTATACCTTTAGTCCTTGTTTGGATGGTAGTAATTCGGATGTAATTTACAATAAAAAGAATGGGACAAAATATAGGAGCAGAAGGTATAGGAATACAACAAAATATATTAACAAAAAAGATATTGGTCGATAATGTGGTTTTGAAACAGAAAGGATTATAACAAAAACCCGCTGGGCACATTTCAAACAAGTAGATTTGGGGGGGGGGGGGGGTACTTTTTAAAAACACCAATGATAAACGTGTTTTCTCTTAACAAATCGTATTTAATTGATGGCTGGAAGTGATCGAGATTCAAGTTGGATCTTAATGGGAGTGAAGTGGGGGAGAACAATAGCAGTGCAAACAATTCTCTTGACTCGCGGCGCGCTACCACTTAAGATCCTGAGAGGAGGGTGGGGGGGGGGGGGGGGGGGGGGGGAGGAGAGAGGGTGATCTTGAGATGTGTAGTATAGATTATATTTAAACACTTGACTTGAGCTGGAGAGGGTTCATTGCTTGGTGTATGGATAGACCAGACGCGCGGAGGGCTCCATAAGAGAAGCATTATGGCGTGTCATAATCATAGACCATAAGTCAACAGAACCCGTGTTGTTATTACGCTCTATCTACATCCATTTCATTCGGACTTGACACTTTACAACTCCCATTCCTCACCAAAGGGCCTTATCCACGCTTGATTTAAAAGTATTTAAAGACTCATTCTTATCTCGCAAACCCTTCCGTTTTGTCCCCTCGCTGTCTCCTTTCCATCCATCTCCCTCTCTCTCCCCGCATCTCTCTCAATAGATGGAGCTAATAATGTCGCCCTGGGCAGTAATTTACACTTCATCAGCCTCTGGAAGTAGCGCGAAGCTATAATTTTGTCATTTAAGCGAGATAAAGTATGTTATTAAAAGTCAAAACCTCCAGGGTTTTCGACGTACAAGAGGCCGCACCTTTGCGGCATGTTCTCTTCCCCTTGCCCGAAATGGGTGCATCGTATAGACGGATGGGGGTAACTTTACGTCAGGGGCAACGCGTGGCGCCTCTCGGATACCAGGAGGGGCTTATATGAACGGTGTAAGGGGTAGGAAAAGGGACCCGCCATCGCTCTCTTACCCCAAGACGTGTTCATTTGAGCGTCTCCCACACGCGCTTACTCCTTACTCTAACATCTGCCACTACATTCCTCTATGCAAGGCTGAGAAACATTATCGAGGGTACTATTGGCGTTTGGGTTTTAACGTCAAGGGTATTAAAGTCTACATGACTTGCCTTTTCCCCCGCAACCCCTCTTTCTCATGAGGATTGATTTAATTAAGTCTCTTTCGGTTTATTAACTCAAGAAAGTCGAGTAAGACGAATCTTGGATGTTTATAGAGAAGCAAGGTCTTCAGAAGAGTCAAACATAAGGGAACAAAAATCAAACACACCGGCGATATAAAAAATCAAAAAAATCAATCTAGCAAGCATATATTTTAACTTTCTTGCCCCTCTCTGTCTCTCTCTGTCCTCTTTCTCCTCATTCATTTTTCTTTCATTCTTTTATTTCCCCCTCATTTTTATCCTTATTCTATTAATCCTTTCATTTTTTTTTAGTATCCTCCTCTTTTTCCCTTCCCCTCTACTTCGTTGATGTAATTTGAAAATAGTTATAAAAAATATTCTATTAAAATCGTAATTACTAAAAATTATCAAGGAGAAACATTGTGAGAAATGCTAAAAAAATTTCGTTACTTAGCACGATCAACGTAGAACTCATTTGACCTTATTTATCAACCGACCATTGTCATCCTCTGAAAAAACGAAGGGACACTCATCATCAACAGCATCTTAACAACCACGAGGAGGACTTCGCTAGCGTAATTGCGACATTTCGAATGCGTCCCACGCGATCGTCGACAGCGTGTTGTAATTCGAACACATGTATTGGATACAAGCGAACAGTGAGTCACGTACGATGCGCACTTAATCATCGACGACGCGAAAATCATATTTCCAATTTAAATCAGACAAGAATATTATATCAGAACCGGGGGCATTATCACGGCCTGGCGGGCGGGTTTTCGGCTCTCTTACCGATAAGGAAGGATATAATTAGCATAACTATTCTTGAATGAAGAGATAGATAGATAGATGGATAGAGAGAGAGAGGGAGAGAGAGAGAGGGATAGAGAGGGAGAGGGAGTAGGAGAGGGAAGGGGGGGGGGGGGGGTGTTTTTTTTTTTTTTTTGGGGGGGGGGGTTGTGGGATCCCTTTCTTAGCTTTGAGAATTGATCTGTGATATAACCTTGCGAACCGTATTATTTTGGTTTGCTACAATAATCGACAATTGCTCAATTCCTATCTATGTATTAGAAAATCATGCAAAATGTATTTCCTCCCTCACTATCTTTTCTTCTCTCCCTTTATACCTCAATCAGTCTCGTCTCTTTATAGGTATCGCTCTCTACCTATCTTGCAATCTATGTTTAAATTTTTCACCGGTCCCCTCTAATATCTCAATTTTGTAAACTCATTCCTCGACCCTGAACATAATGATCTCCATTTTAAGAAAATGAGAAATGCCTCACGAAAATAAAAAATGGAATCGCATTCATATTTCCAATTTTTGTAACTTTGGGGGAAATTCTGGGGAAAGAAAAATCTCTGTATGCTAAAAATGGGAATTTGGGTAAATTGGTGTCTCGGGACGCACTGCAACGAATTTCTTTCCACGCTTCGCAGCCTCGCTGATGAGTCTAGCACGTTATGAGCGAGCTAGCGGAGGATGACGAAGCGTCAATCGGGTGACGGTCGGCCTGGAGTTACTGTCTGTCCTCGGTCGTCCTCGGGTTGCCAGCTAATAAATTGCTCAGGTCTTAATAAAGACAGAGCATTTTCTTTAAGTTTATAAGGCCGTCTATGGAGTTCGATTGGTTAAGATTCAAATACCATATTAGTTATTGAAGCGTTTGACTTGGTCTGGTGTAAAGTGTATCACTATCAGTGGTCAGAATTATTATATTGATGAAAAAACGGTTAACTAAAATAGTCACATTGGCATTAATTGGGGTCAGGAAAACACCTCTGTTTCTCACAGTCAGTGCTACCGTGCATGTGCTAATTATAAATAAAAATTCTTATGCATTATCCCTCATTTAGGAAGAAAATAATCGTAATTCCTTAGTCACAAGGCATGTAGACAGTTTTTATGTCTTAATTTCCTTTTTGTATGAAACGATTATTTTCATCCCCTTCATTCTCGAAAATAGGACCTTTCCAAGCCTAAATCTACCTCGGCCTTATCCTACCCGATTCACCATCATATCCTTATTGCACGACAGTCGTGTAACCCCACATTTTCTTTGCAGGAGAAATCAAATCGTGTAGCGTAGCGTCATTCTATCGTCCCGCCGGAGCTTGGGCGACGCGCATCAGTGCCCGCTCCGCTCGAGGAGCTCAGTAATCCCTCCCTAAGGGACTCGAATGCTAGCAATAAAGTACGCGAACTGATGATATTATTGGCTCGTTTGGGAACCACTGGGGACCCGGTATAACTGGTCCAAAGATCTCCTTCATGATCATGTCTAGTTACCGATAAGAATTATATTTTTATCATCTCTTGAATAAAGGCATGATACAAAAAAAAAAAAAAAATAGCTCTGTATAAAAGTTAGTTTGTTGCATTAGCCAAGACCAAATAGGAATTTGTATACATGGGACTAGCCTGAAAGACCACATCTTGCGTAAGAGTTCGACTGCAGGAAATTAACTATCATATTACAATTATATTTATTTAAGACAATAGAGAGAACATTGACCATTTGAGTGTTAGTGCTTTAAAAAAAAATATGTATGAAGAGTTTGGTTGGAGGGCCAACATGTTTTTATCCACACTTTTCAAGAATATCACTATCGTAAATTTAGGAATAAT